CAATTCCTTCAATGTACCTTGGACTTCTTCCTTCAGTATCATTGGCTCTTGATCATATGCTACCTCTTGAAATGGCTGAACATCAACCATTTCCTTTTGGTATAGTGACTGTGTATTCCTTCCATCTTCATTTGATCCTTTCTGCATCATTCTATAATTTACCCAGAGAATCTTTCAATAAGGAAAGTTGAGGCTTGAAGTTTTTCTTCAGTTCCCCTAGCTTGAGAAATGCTGAATGTGTTCTTCCTTTTTGGTTTTCTGACTCCAGATCTTTGCAAATTTCATTGTAATATTTGACTTTGTCTTCTTGAGCTGACCTCTGAAATTTTCTGTTCAGCTCATGTACCTCCTTATTTCTTCCATTTGCTTTAGCATCTATGCTGGAGAGCAAGTTTCAGCGTCTCTTCTAACATTGATTTTGATCTTTCCTTCTTTCTTGTCTTCTTAATGAGGTTTTGCTTTCTTCTAGTATGATGTTCTTGATATCATTTCACAACTCTTCTGGTCTTTAGTCTTTAGTGTTTAATGTATCAAATCTGTTCTTCAGATGATCTCTAAATTCAGGTGGGATATATTCAAGGTCGTTTTTTGGTTCTTGTGGACTTGTTTTCATTTTCTTCAGCTTCATTCTGAATTTGCATATGAGCAATGATGGTCTGTTCCACAATCTTCCCCTGGCCTTGTTTTGACTCATGATATGGAGCTTTTCCACTGTCTCTTTCCACAAATGTAGTCAATTTGATTTCTGTGTATTTCATCTGTTGAGGTCTATGTGTATAATTATCTCATGCTGTCTAAAGAAGGTATTTGAGAATAAACAAATCATTAATTTTACAGAATTCTATAATGTGATCTCCAGCATCATTTCTATCACCAAGACCATATTTTCCAACTACTGATCCTTCCTCTTTGCTCCCAACCTTTGCATTCCAATCACCAATCAATACAATCAATACATCTTGATTGCATGTTTGATCAACTTCAGATTGAAGAAGTTGATAGAATTCTTCTATTTCTTACTCACTGGCTTTAGTGGTTGCTGTGTAAATTTGAATAATAATGGTATTAACAGGAAAGCCTGTAGGTGCGTGGATACTTTCCTATCACCGGCAGTTCTGTACCTCATGACTGATGTTGATACATTCTTTTTGATGATGAATGCAACACCATTCTTCTTCTATTTGTCATTCCTGGCATAGTAAACCATTCAGTTGTCAGACTCAAAATGGCCAATAGCAGTCCGTTTCAGCTTACTAATGCCTAAGATATTGATGTTTATGCATTCCATTTCATTTTTGACAATTTCAAAATTTTCTAGATTCATACTTGGGGCAGTCCATGTTCCAATTATTAATCATTGTTCACAGCTGTTTCTCTTCATTTGAGTTGTGCCCCATCAGCAAATGAAGGTTCTGAGAGCTTTACTCCCTCGGAGTTTACTCCATTCACATCATCATGGTCAACTTTACTTTGAGGAGGCAGCTCTTCCCTACTTGCATTTTGAGTGCCTTCCAACTAGAGGGGCTCATTTTCCAGCACTATGTCTGACAGTATTTCTCTGCTATTCATAAGGTTCTCAGTGACTAAATATTTGGAAGTAGTTTGTCACTCTTTCATCCTAGTCTGTCTTCATCTGGAAACTCATCTGAAACCTGTCCACCATGGGTGACCCTGCTGGTATTTAAAATACCAGTGGTATAGCTTCCAGAATCACAGCAACTCACAATCCACCACAGTACGACAAACTGACAGACAAGTGATGGTACCATTCCATAGGAACTGAAATTTAAAACCAATTGTTAGTCTAGTATTTCTTCTACTTTATTAAAATTATTCAATATAAGCAATATGGCAGAGTAGGACAATGTTAGGGTGTTAGCATTCGATGTGTATTACAGGTCCATGTCCCTAGACAGGTTATTTCACCTCCTTCAACTTCTATATGTTGCTGTTGTTGTTAGGTCCCATTAAGTTGTTGTTTTTAGACGTTGTCTAGTCAGCTCTGACTCATAGTGATTTTATGCATAGTTGGACAAAATGTTGCTTAGTCCTGCACCGTCCTCATAATTGTTGTTATGTTTGAGCCCAGTATTCCAGCTCAATCCACCTCCTTGGCAGGGGTGTGGGGGGTGGGGGGGTGTTCTCTTTGAAATCTTTAACAAATTCAACCCTTCATCCATTTATCATGATGTTGTTAATTGGTCCAGTTGTGAAGATTTTTGTTTTCTTTATATTTAGTTGTAATCCATACTGAAGGCTGTATTCTTTGGTCTTTATCAGCAAAAGCTTCAAGCCCTCTCCACTTCCAACAAGCAATGTTGTGTCATCTGCATACTTAAGGTTGTTAAAGAGCCTTCTGCCATTACTGATATGCACTCTTCTTCATCTAGACCAGATTTTCAGATTATTTTCTATGCATAGAGATTTAATAAGTATCCTGAAGGGATGCAAACCTGATGCACACCTTTCCTGATTTTAAGCCATACAGTTTACCCTTGTTCTTTCTAACAACTGCCTCATGGTCTATGTATATTTTCTTCATGATCACAATTAAGTATTCTGAAATACCCCTTCTTTGCAATGTTATCCATAGTTTGTTATGATTCACATAGTCAGATGCCTTTGTATTGTCCATAATGCACAGGTAAACAACTTTCTGGTATTCTCTGCTTTCAGCCAAGATCCATCTGACATCAACAATGTTTTTCCTCATCTTCTTTCAAATCTGGCTTGAATTTCTGGCAGCTTTCTGTCAATGTGCTCCTGCCAACATTTTAAAATTATCTTCAACAAAATTTTATTAGCATGTGATATTAACGACGTTGTTTGATAATTTTTACATCCTACTGAGTCACCTTTCTTTGGAATGGACATAAATATGGATCTCTTTACGTCAGTTGGACAGATAATTGTCTTTTACATTTTTTGGAATAGCCTAGTGTTGGAGCCTTGTTTTTTTTCTAGTACCTTAAGTGCAACTTGGGTTTCTTCCATTGGTACCAAAGATTCTTGAAATAGTTTGAATATTGACCAGTTATTTTTGGTACAGTGTTTCTTTGTATTCCTTTTACCTTCTCTTGATGATTCCTGAATCATTCAATATTTTGCCCATAGAACCTTCAATATTCCAGCCTGAAACTTTATTTTCTCTTCTGTCCTTTCAGCTTGAGAAATGCTAAGCATGTTCTTCCCTTTTGGTTTTTAAACTCCAGGTCTTTATGCATTTTATGATAACACATTATTTTCTTTTCTTGAGCTTCCCTTTAAATTTTCAGTAAATATTGATATTGCCTTTAATTTTATTATAGTTAAATGCTGGAGAGTTTGTTTCACCTTACAGTGACCTTATATAGGGTTTTTGAGGAGTGGTTGATGAGTTTGAATCATTGACTTTGTGATACGAACTAATCTTGTGGTCCAGTGCTTATTCTACATCTATAGTAATCATTAATTAATAATATTATGATTTTTACACCATGCATGCCAACTATGCAGATATGATTACAAGAATTGAGATAGTTCTTAACTTCTGTGTTTCTTTCTGTATCACACATTAACAGTGGATACTTTTTATGAAGATAGAGAAATGATTTTCAGATAAAGAAAATTATTAAGATAAAACATTTTCTAAAGTTGACAATTTCATTGATGTAATAAGATACCTGGAGTATTTTTAAAACAATATAAATGGGGTTTTAAACAATCTTTCAAAATTATCAAGTCTGTTGGGCTTGATAATTCTACAATAAGTGATTGGAGTCTTTGTGTGGCACTGCAGGATAAGCACTGGACTGCTAATTGCAAGGCTGGCAATTCAAACCTACCAGCTGCTCCTTGTAAACCCTATATAGTGTTGCTATGTGCTAGATTAACTTAACCTCATGTAACAACAACAGCAACACAATAGGTTGTCATTGACTGCATGCTATGTGGCAAAAACTCTTTAAGGCACTGTACATGCTAAAGCAAACAAGCTAATGTTCCCTGTATGATGGAATTAAAACAGAATGTAGTAGAATACACATACTAGACAGACAAGCAAGTAAATATATAACAGAAGGCTAGGCCATAATTAAAAAATAATAATATATAAACTGAGTGAAGTCAACCATTTGTATATCAGAAGGAATAAGAACCAATGCCAATCCTGAATATATAAAATTACCTAGCTCAAGAGACAGATGGGAGCTCACTATGTCTCAAGATTAATGAGAAAGGAGGAGAATTGCAGGAATTGCATATCTGAAGGAAGTGGGATCAGCTTGTTGTATTTAAGTGCCTTTGAGTCAGTTCTGACTCATAGTGACCCTGTGAAGGGTTTCCAAGGAGTGGCTGGTGAATTTGAACCACTACCTAGCAGTTGAAATCGACCTTGTGGTTCAGTGCTTAGCCTACAGTGCCACACCAGATTACATGGGGCTTTTTAGGACTTGAAAAGGACACTAAATTTTATTCCATGTGTGATAGGAGGCCACAGGATGCTTTCCAGCAGAGCCAAAAAAAAAAAAAAAAAA